AATAAGCCTATCATCATTATCATCATTATCATCATCACCATCATCATCAATACCATCATCATCACCACCAATACCATCATCATCACCACCATCATCCTTATCATCATCACCATCATCATCAATATCATAACCACCATTATCATCACTACCACCATCGTCGTCACTATCCTTATAATCATCAATATCATCACCACCATTATCATTATCATCATCACCATCACCATCACCATCATTATCACCGTCACCATCACCATCATTATCATCATCATCACCATCATCATCATCATCATCATCATCATCATCACCATCATCACCATCACCATCCTCATCACCGTCACCATCACCATCATCACCATAACCATCATCATCACAATCATCACCATCATCATCATGTACAACCTATCTATTACTATCCGATCATCATTGATCATAATTATCACCATAGTCATCATCATCATCATCATCACAATCATCACAACCATCATTAGCCTACAGCATCCTCCTCATCTGAAATCTAGTCATTATCATGAGTATCCTACTGGTTGAAGGGCTCTCAGTATTAACACTAATGAGGCTACCCTGGGTAAACATCATATATTATCATTATTACTATAACACCTATAGCATCATTATCATGATTACCATCATCACCATCATTTTAACCATAACCATAACCATCATCATCATCTACAACATTACGACCATGCATTACCATCATCAATCAATAATGATGACCATCATCACCATAAACCAAACATTACCATCATTATGATCACTCGCAGGACTCTGATGCAATTCCTATATTGCAAATGCAATCAAAATAAACAATGAACATTTGGGAAAATTTCAACTTCCCTAAACCCTCAACCCCTCTCCCTTAGAATACGACACAACAAAAGAACCAACATTGAAATGAATAAAACTTGCAATAATAATTGAATAATAAATAAACCATTTATTGCAAATAAATGTTGATGGTTACAACACATACATATGCAAACATGTCTAATTTGCAATTGACTTGCGCCAAAGTGATGACTACAGTATGTATTATGTTGGAATTAGCGGAGTGAGAGAATGAATTGAATGTATCAAATGAAATGCATTGCATATGCCTTTTGCAGAAACAAAGTCACACACACATGCACAAATGTTTGTTGATATTTTATATTCTATATTTGATATGTGTGGCATGAGTAATTTTTGTCATTTGGATCTACAAAGACCAAATTAATGCCCAAATCCCAATTGTTTTATTCAAACATCACATAAGTAAATTTGGCACAAGTCGATTTTTTGCACTCTCGCAAACAAAGCCTCCTGTTCATCCAAGCATGAACACATACCACACAAAATGTTACTAAATGATTCGGGATAAAACACTCTTTCATAAGATGTATAATAATATACAGTTCATAGATGATTTTTAAAATAATTCGCAATTTTCTAGGTGTAATTTTTTTTTGGACTCACACTGTATATGCATGACCACTTATTAATAGTGGGGGACTTCAACTGCAAATATATCAACTGGGAGATGAATACCATTTCATTTCATTTATTTATTATGACCATAGAGGATAATTGCTCATATTTTCATTTACAATCTTGCTTCACAGTAATTTCACAAGTAAAACATACAATTAACAATCATAAGTACTTAATTAAATACATGTGAATTGTAATTTTTTTTCTTCACAATACACACATACCAAATGTTTGTCTGAATTGTGTTCAACCTCGTTTCTAATTTTTTCTCAAGGCCCTGTTTTTAGTATACACTCAATATACATGATCATGATGAATATACTTCTTACTTTCTTTCTTCTATTTCTTCTTCTTCTTTCTCTCTCTTCTTATATATACTCTCCCTTTTTTAAAATCTTATATTCTCTAATCTAAAGTAGGTATTTTAACTTTTTCGAACTATTCCTTGATATGGTATAACAGTAGGGGGAACAACGGTATAAGTATACTAAAAAGAAAAAAAAAAGTAATGAGAGATGTCACAGATTTTTAAACAGTATTGACAATCTCTTCTTACATCAACATGTCAACTCCCCTATGAGATACAGAGATGGCCAGTTGCCTAGTACACTTGATTTAGTTTCCACTGATGAGGAAGAGCTTAGATTTGACCTAACCTATGGACCTGCACTTGGTAACAGTGAACATGTTTCATTGCTGCTTCAGTTGTCAATCGAGGCTAAAGAAAATGCTGAGGAATTGCCTGTAAGGAATTACCGTACTATCAAGGCAATTACGATAAAATGAGGAAAGTTAATGGAAAGCCTGATTGGGAAAGAGAGATATCTGCTATTTTTGGAATTGAGACATGACAGTATATGGAAGCAATGTTGCTGGAATGTATCAAGGAATTTGTACCAATCTGGAAAAGGCGAGTTCGTACATTCATTTTACACAAGGATGCCTCCAATATTAATAGATTTCATCCACTGGATATCAAAGAGGGTGCCATTTCCTCACAGCGAATTTAGTAGCCTGTAGATGGCGCTAAACATAAATATAATCAATCCACTTGATCAACTGAAGTTAGCATCAGTAACTCTGTCCTTCAGCCTACTGAGTTTGTTAAGTTATTGGGAGTGCACTTACAGTCTTATATGAAATGGGATAGACAAGTCGAGAATGCTGTCAAACAAGCATCCCAACGTTTTTACATCCTTTGTGTTCTTAAAAAACACAAAGCTCCACTAGAGGATTTGGTCGCTATATTCTTTTTCCATTCTTCTTTGGTAGATTACACATGTTTCTTTTTCCTTTATGTACATGTATTTCATAATTCCTGCAATAATGTCTACAATGTTTAGATACTTGTTCTGATTTTACAGAGTCTACAGATCTTATTGATATTTCCCTAACTTCCTTCCTATCCCCTTCCTTCTCTCTCTCTCTCTCTTTCTCCTTTTCTTTTCTTCCCTCTCTCCCTCCATCTTACTCTTTTCTTTCTCTATGCTCTTTTGGGAATTACTTTATTGTATGTTACATGTATTTCAGATCAATTACAATGTCTATAATGTTTGGATACTTGGGCTGTTTTTACAGAGTCTACAGTTGGTATTGATTTTCCCCTAACTTCCTTCCTATCCCCTTCCTTCTCTCTCTCTCTCTCTCTTTCTCCTTTTCTTTTCTTCCCTCTCTCCCTCTATCTTACTCTTTTCTTTCTCTATACTCTCTTGGGAAATTCTTTATTGTATGTTACTTGTACTTTCTCAATACTTTAAATTTAAAAATTTATTCTTTAGCTGACATATTCCCCTCTTTTTACTATTGATCTTTTTAAACCCAGTCTTATGCATTTTAATCTTCTTTTTATTGGACTCTCGGTCTGTGCCTGATTTAGTTATTGCACAGCTCGAGAGCCCTTTTTTGATGTAATTGTAATGATGTATACTTATTCGTTTATATGTCCTTTTTGCAATATTTACTGATAATAGTTTAGTTATTTGATATTTTAACTTATGTAACTTATGTATTTATTCATTACTGCTATTTTATTATGTACATTTGATTTAAATTGTATTTTTGTACCCAAGACAGTTGTCAGTCTTTGGACTGTTTGCTCTTGGTTTTTGATGTTTTGATTTCAATAAAATCCTATTATATAAAATTAATTCATATCGATCACTGAAACATGGCTCCTTTAAATTATTCAAATATTTACTAAATAATTGATTGACATTATCAAGGAATTACCTATCCCACAAACCTATATACTGCATGTAATTCAGCACTCTTCATGAAAATATCTAACTTGTGCAATATCAATGACATCAATACAGATTACATATTCATATGTATCTCTGTCTTGAGATTAATTTTTAAAAAATGACAACATAGGGCACATGTTGCGCTATATCAAACCATCAAATTAAAATTCCCTGAATAGTATTAGTTTTAAAACACATTTAGGTGGGAAATACCTGTTCTATCATCATTACTGACTCAGTTTGTAAATTAGTCCATTTATACACAAAGTTTCTTCAAGAGCTATATAACAAATGTGCTATTATACGCCTTACATCGGAAGGTACCTTGATTATAAGGTAGTTATATCAGATATTCAATACAGTTAAATTATTTAAATAGTCTGACATAAGCATTCCTCCCACATTATTCTCTGAACCTTCGCCAACTCGTTACTAACAACTATAATTATTAACTGTATAATGATGTCACAAATGCACCTCTCTACTATTTTTATGTTGATGTATTTGTGTAACTCATATACCATTACAAGTATTGTTTCCTCAAAATAACTAAATATTACCCTTAATACAAGGCTAATATTCAAGTGTATGCCATACCACAGAATTTCGAATTCCAAAAATAAAACGCATTTATATTAAGCTGGCATGAATAGTCATTTCTGACTGCGATGCCAACAAAACTTAAATACAAACAAAGAATATAAATGTATGTGGAACTCATTTAGTTACTCTACCTGTGTATGATACAGGTTACAAATCTACATATACGGAAGACTTTACTGAATAGTCATATCAACCAGTCTGATGTTCATTTCCATTGCTATTTCAGTTTATAGAAATATTTAAAAGAAAAGCATTGTGTGGATTTTACAAAATTCAACAAACCCACAGCAGAGGTAGAGTAACACCCAGAGAAAATCAAATAAGTTATGTGAGTAGAATGGGGTCAAGGGGAGGAGTCAAAAGAGAGAGTTACGTCTAAGGTAGAATCTTTGATGATGGTAGGGTTATCAAAGTGTGCATAAACCATGTATTTCAGCTTGGATACAGTCTCTGCTTTGGTCTCCTCACACCCACACAGACTGGTACTGATAGACTCAAGCATCTACAGAAAGAGAGAGAGAGAGAGAGACAGAGACAGACACAATGAGAGAAAGAGGGGGAGGGAGACAGAGGGAGGGAGAGAGACAGAGAGAGAGACAGAGACAGAGAGAGATGAGGGAGACAGAGGGAGGGAGAGACAGACAGAGACAGACAGAGAGAGAGAGAGAGAGAGAGATGAGGGAGACAGAGGGAGACACAAAGAGAGAGAGATAAAGACAGATACAGAGAGACCAAAAGAAAGAAAGATAGAATGCGAAGACAGAGAGAGAGAGAAAGAGAAATTGGGCAAGAGAAAAATATGAAAAAGTTACTTATTTGAAGGAATGAAATATTGGAGAAAAAAATGTACGGGTATTTCAAAACATCTGTCATTGATATAAAATTAAGGGTTACAAATTGAAATGAAGTAAAGTTTTGATCATGTACTAAAACAGTATCCAAGAGTGACAACAAACTTGTACATCAGAAAACAAGTGAGTCAGATTAAAAAGATAGATAATGCATGTAGCACATCATGATCATGTATGTACATGGACTAAAGATAGATAACGCATGTAGCACATCATGTACCTGTATACATTGACTAAAGATATATAACGCATGTCTGTACATGTGATTCGCAGCCTATGACAAAACAATATTCATTAAACTAAAAGCTCACCTTTTCAAGATAAGTGATTCCAGATTGACCAGGACAAACCCAGAGCATCTCAACTCGACTGAGAGAAAAGAAAAGAGGTTTGTTGTTAAAAAGAAGTCATAGTAGAGTAGAACAGGTGTATCCCACATTTTAAATTGTCCATGTGCATTATATACAAAAATTAAATAGAATTGTACATTATGTACTTCATTTTTCGCTAACAGATCATAACATGTGTAACCTTATTTGTTTATATTTAATCCAAAGGGACGGACGGCTCATTTTCGGCAATTGTTTTATGACCTACTTTAGGAAAAAAAGATGGGGAAATTTTATCTTTAATTGCACTCATCATATTAAAATATTAAAAGTCATGAGTTTCTATTTTAAAATTAATTGTCGAACCTCTGAGCCATTTTGTTTCCACATCTCATCAAGAAGCTAAAAGGAAGCATACAGGGAAAAAAAATTGAGAAAGAAGAGCCGGATTGACTGACTGATACTCACTATTTATACTGAGCAAACTCTGCTATAAGATGTGAAGCTATAGAAAGCAACTGCTGGTGAGATGCAACTACATCCTTGTCTTGGTAAACTGAGAAATCAAACTTGTATGGTCTCCCTACAAAGAAAAATGACAACAGTTGATTAATAATAAATATGTGTAAAGTATAGAATAAGAGGATACAGAGAAGAAGATGATTAAAGGGTAAAGAGATGACAAGGAATTGGAAGCTCAAGAGGACGGCGGACCTAAAGCTAACTTGAGCTGATGAAATTAGGGGTCTCACATCCTTCCTCCAACCGTCTTGGGAAATGGGAATCCTGGTATACTGAAAAATTAAATAGGGCATACTGCCCCCAAGGTCCATTTGAAAAAAACTTGAGATATCCCTTTCCTACATATGATTCTGACACATTTTGGTTAGAATCTAGCCATGGGTTTTCAAGAAGAAAAAGTATGTAAGTACTGCCACTGAGGAGCTTTGGGGGTGCTGCTCCAGGCCCCTCTTTGGGGTATGTACCCATCTGAAAAAAATTAGATCTCCTTTGCTGAAGGATGGTTACTTCCAATTTTGGTTAAAATCCAGCCATGCATTGTTGAGAAAAAGGTTGAAATTTCAAAGGTTTATGGACGACGCACAAAAAGTGATCGCAATAGCTCACTTAAACAGAAAATTTACATCTGAAGCTAGCTGACAGGCTTTTTTCCAATTGCCATTAGGGATGCTGCTATGCCGCATCACCCTGAGGAAAATGTTCAGCTATTTGAAAGTATTAGATTGTCTTTGAAGTACAGGTGTTTGCTTATAATCAGATATGTCTTTCATATTAGATTCCTTCTGAGGGAGAATTGAAGCCAAATAAAGTTTCAACCTTCACCTATACTTGATAATTCTTGATTTACTTACAGCATTGATGATCAGGTGACCATTGTTGGCTGACTGTGAGGCAGTTGATCTTAGATGTAACAAGCTGTCTACTATGATATGGACTCACTATAACACCGATAAATGGAGTCTTTGTATCTTGACTGAACCAATCCTATTCAAACAAAACAAAACAAAATGATAATTTAGCTTTATATAAATAGGCCAATTGATCAAAATGAAATATTTCTATATCATCAAACACTTTGGTATTACTCATTAAAGTACCACTCAGAAGAAACATTTCATTAAAGACATTGATCTCTAGGGTGTAATGAGTGATGTCAACTATGATATTGAAATATGTAAAAAAGAGAAAAGCACATTATACGTTTACGTCAGAATTTCATGCAACACAATAAATGTAAGTTCATTTAATGATTACGGTCATCTGCTCTCACCTGAAAGTGTCCTTGTGTCTCAATGTCTCTGATCGATGGATTCGGGCTGAATGTTGGATGACTGTGATACCATCCTACTACCCTACATCCTGCAGACTGGATATCTTCACATGCTTCTGTCTGGGATACTAAACAACCAATGATTTATGAATTAGAATTGAAGCCAAGATGTGACCATGCTACCACTCTACATCCTGCAGACATGATTTCTTCAAGCATCTTTGTGTACAAAATGCCTCTTTATCCTAGAGTCTTAAACATAGAATTGAGAAGATTATACAAATAATACACAGCAGTGAGGGCATTAGTAAGAATTACCCATACAAGGTACCTTTGAAACCGTCTAACATGCCCGAGGCAGTAGGCGAGGGTGTTTGGACTGTTTTGAAGGTACCGAGTGTGGGTAATTTTACTAATGGCCGAACATGTTTTATAAAATGATGTTTTATAACATGATTTTACTAATGACCGGTCATTAGAATTGGATAATGACCGGTCATTATCCAAATTACGCGTTAGGCAAAATAAATGCCTGGTCACGTGTACGCTTTCAACCAATCATTTGTTTAGGATCCATGTCATCATCTTATAAATAAGATTAGTAAAAGCTTGCTAATGGCAGACAACACCAGTACAGCAGACCAACCACCCCCCCATAAAAAAGTATGTATTGTAAGATAATTATTGCAAAAAATTATAACCATTCAATAAAATGAGACATGAGATCAAGCATCTAATTTCCTAACATGAATCTAGTCATTAGAACATGAATCTAGTCATTAAAACATGAATCTAGTCATTAGAACATGAATCTAGTCATTAGAACTACTAATGACTGACTATTCACTAGCATTTTCTAATGACCAGCCAATCAATTATCAAGAAAGTAACAGTCAGTCTAGATTTATAGAATTCAAAGTAAAATGTAATATTTAAATAAACAAAAGACGATGATCCTCATTACCACTCGTACAACACAGAAGATAAAAACTGTATGTTCTGGCTTCAGCATCATCCATTCTCTGTACCTTTCGAACATCCAAACACCTTTGCCCATTATCTCAGATGTCTAGACTTTAAAAAAAAGTATAGCTTGTGTGAATAATTCTTCCCAACACTCTCACTGAAATGTATGATAATTATTTGTATAAGTACTTTCAACTTTATTACCTGGATCCATTTCACACTGCATGCCTGTACTAAGACTTCTACATGGTCTAGCTATCCTGACTTCAAGGATAGCGCGTACAGGATCAAAGTCACCTCCTAACAGCCCGATCACTTCCGTGGTGGATAGATGAGAATGCTGCCAAATAAACACACAATACACATTCTTTGAAAGAAAGGCCAAGACAGATATTTCCGCAAACTGTACATGTATATAGTCTGCTGAGAGCTTGGATGGCAATAACTTTATGTGAAGAGCCATTACATGATGGTACAGTATGCTTATTCCCTTATGTGAAGAGCCATTACATGATGGTACAGTATGCTTATTCCCTTATGTGAAGAGCCATTACATGATGGTACAGTATGCTTATTCCCTTATGTGAAGAGCCATTACATGATGGTACAGTATGCTTATTCCTGTGGAGCTCTATGAAGACAACCTGCTTTAACCCAAAGGTCTATAGCTATGTACAGTTACAGTGAACATTCGCTGTTGCACCAGTTAAAAAAATAAAATATATATGGTGTTGATATGATTTAAAAAAACAACAACAAATGTCTGCTAATTAAGATTCAGATTGGCATTAGCTTTAGGTAAATATGCCATATCAGCCAACGCCTTTCTGCTTTTGAGTAGACATGCTATGATCTATTATATAATCTCATCTACTTTGTCTACGTTTGTAAATCAATTTGAATGATTGATGTTGATTCCATGGGCGATAAAGTTAGTTTGCTTCATAAAAATCCATTCTTCAGTATCACAGTTAATAAGCACAGCCATTCTAACAACTATCATACAATATCAAATATGAGATTATACCCTTAGTCCCTAGACTTCTGTCTTGTATCCTGCTCATAAAAATGAAATGAATAGATATTGGGTTTTAGTATTATGATATACAAAGGCTACATGGCTAAATACACATAAAGTGTAAACTCATAATAATTGAAATACAGGTAACACACTTGAAGATAACCTGAAAGTAAACTTACCACGTCCATAGTCACCATTGCATCTCCCTTCACTTTAACACTAAACGGGGCCTATACATCAAAATATGAAAGTTACAAAGGAATAAAGTCTTGTTCTTGTTAAAAACTACTTAATTTAGTGGATACAAAATGTGAAAAGATTATGCGGTACATCGCATGTACTATCGATAAGGTCAATAATAATATAGGCCTTTCTATACTTTGGTCCAATCATCATGGTTTAAACATGGCGAAGTAAGAATGAAAATTGCTTGGCAGCAGCACCGAAATGGTGATTAGTGAATAGCAATTGATGGGTGGCTACCAAAACAAACAGCAGACTCTGTAGATATGATTATCCTTCATAAACAAATCACATAAATGTACATGTAGGAGAAGCTTCAGGATTTTTCTTGACAGCTAGGCTCCTACTTTTGTAACAGATTATCTGCTAATGTTAATTGAGGATAATTCTCCTTTATTAAGCAGCAGACTGGATGTACATGTAGAGATTTATTTTTCCCTCTGGCACAGATATACATGTACAGTATATTTTTACTACATTCAATAGAGAACAGGTAGCATTATAAAAGGAACAGAGATATACATCAACTAACTTACCGGTAAAGTACTGGAAAACTTATGGCAATCTATCAGTTTGAAGGGATCATAGGCAGGTGGTTTGGGTGGTTTAGACTTTGGCCTGAGAAAATAGATCAGAAGAAAAACAAACAAGTGCACAGCTCCTGAACTAACATGTGTGAAACAAACCCAAAGAGAAATCTGATATCAAGTACAGTCGAGGGCAGCCAATTACAAAACATGGAAGAGGCAATGAGCTACATGCAAGGCAAGACAAGCAATCTCACAAAAATGAAACATCAGCAGAATAAAACAGCATCTTGTCCTAATCCACTGAGAGCATTCCGTTTCCCATAGGGTTGAATATTTATATATAAACAGATACATGATGTAGGATACATAGATGTAACTAACAAATTACTGAAACAAATAAAATTACAACAGAAAATCCCTAAAATTGTCCCAAACAATCTTCCATTACATGAATATGCATTCAACTTCAAAGAAACAAAATAGTGAATGAACAAAAGCACATGACTAAACAAAAGAATGGGATTCTCTACTTATCCCTCCTTACTTTTTCTGTTTCTCAATGACTGAGCTTGTTTTGTCATCAATATCTCCAGGAAACTTGCTGAATATCTTTCTTCTTGGTCTCTAAAATGATTACAAAGACAAATGATATAAAATCAGAGATGTATGGTGATGCTTTAATAGACAAAGCATCAAATCATATCCTGCACATCCTAACTAGTATACAGTACTACTGGGTTTCTTGTACAGTGCTCGCGTCCTTGACCCTGGATCTTGTATACATGTAAATACACATATCTGATGAGCCTGCCTGTTTACCAATGATGTTTATTAAATATAATCATAACAGAGATGACAGCATCAAACTCCAGCACTGCTTTCTGCTCCAATCAAAGAAGGGGTATTGTTCCAGTACCAATTTACACCTGGGTAGAGAGTAGCAATTGTAGACTGATGTTTTGCTTCATATAGATTTTGCCACATTGAGATTTGAAGCATCATTCTCTTGACAGAAAGTAAAGCAAATGAACCACTACACCAAGTCACCTTCAATAGTGCCTTCTATATTGATCTACTTTCAATCATAGGTGCTTAATGTAATATCATATTATCCCACTTTGATTGTGGAGATAAATTTGAGAAAAAGATATCTTTAATAGTAAAATAATAATTATAACTAGATGGAATTCGACTGCGCGCAGTCGAAAATGATGCCTCCGTCATAGAGCAATTTTACAAACCGAAACGGAAGAAATTTTTCAAATTCAAGTTCAATTGTAATCCATTAACATGTTCTCAGAATATCGTGATTACAAGCAATTTCTCATAAACATATATGACCCTTTGATCTTTGACCTCATGACCCTAAAATCTACTCAGTTCATTGGCTCTGCAAGATTTCCTGAGTTAAATAGTAATCCATCTGTCAGTTCTAATGAGAATGCGTCCACAAGCTATTTTTGCATACATAATGAGCCCATGACCTTTGATCTTATGAACCATTCATTGGCTCTGCAAGATACATAAATGATCTAAGTTTGGCAGGAATCCATCAATCTGTTCTAATGATAATACGATCACAAGCTATTTTTGCATACATAATGAGCCGCATGACCTTGACCTTTACCTCATGACCCCAAAATCTAATCAGTTCATCAGCTCTGCAAGTAACATACATGACAAAAGTTTGGCAGGAATCCATCAATCGGTTGTTCAGATAACGCGATCACGAGCTGTTTTTGCATACATAATGTGCACTGTGACCTTTGACCTCGTGACCCCAAAATCTAATCAGTTCATTGGCTTTGCAAGATACATACATGACCAAAGTTTGGCAGGAATCCATCAATCGGTTCTTCAGATAACGCGATCACAAGCTGTTTTTGCATACATAATGAGCCCTGTGACCTTTGACCTTTGACCTCGTGACCCCAAAATCTAATCAGTTCATCAGCTCTGCAAGATACATACATGACCAAAGTTTGGCAGGAATCCATCAATCGGTTGTTCAGATAACGCGATCACAAGCTGTTTTTGCATACATAATGAGCCCTGTGACCTTTGACCTTTGACCTACGTGCTCCAAAATGTAATCAGATTGTTTTCCTATAGTGATACACACTATCACTAAGTTTGAAGTTTAAATCTCCAGTGGTTCTTGAGATATCATGATAACAATCTCAATGTATGGAATTTCATAAGTTGACCTCTGTGACCCTTGACCTTTGACATACGTGCTCCAAAATCTAATCAGATCGTCTTCCTATGGTGATACATACTATCCTTAAGTTTGAAGTATAAATCTCAAATGGTTCTTGAGATATCGCGCTAACAAACTCAATACAAGGAATTTCATAAGTTGACCTCTGTGACCTGTGACCTTTGACCTACGTACTCCAAAATCTAATCAGATCGTCTTCCTATGGTGATAAATACTATTCCCGAGTCTTAAGTTTAAATCTTAAATGGTTCTTGAGATATTGTGATAACGGTCAAACGGGACGGACGGACGGACGTACGGACGGACGGACGGACGTACGGACGGACGTACGGACGTACGGACGGACGTACGGACGGACAACCCGAAAACATGATGCCTCCGGCACCACCTTCGGTGGCGGAGGCATAAAAATGTTGCTTATAAAGCGCTTACTACCGAAGTCTCTAAGTGCTATAACAGACAAAATAGACTGATAAACAATTACATATTAAACAAAACAAAAAAGTGCAAATAAACCTACAAATTGCAATACATATGGAATACACATGTATCAAAGTGAAAAGAGTTAATTAATCAGCAAAAGCAATTTTGAATAAATGTGTCTTAAGACAAGTTTTGAATAGGTTAACAGTTTGACAGTTTTTGGCATTTAAAGGTAGTTTGTTCCAAAGTTCAGCAGAGGCTTTGCAAAAAGAGCGATGACCATAAGAAAGAGTTGAAACCGAAGTAGACACGAGGTTTAATTGTGAAAATGACCGTAGAGTGCGTGAGGGTTTGTATTCCTAGATTAGTTCTTGCAAATAAATTGGTGCCAATCCATGAATGCATTTATAAGTTAAAACCCAGATATTGTACATAATGTACATCCTTCATGTACACGTACATCTTGTTTTGTCATCATACTGGCTCTATGATACTAGGCCGTACAGCCATTCTTCTTCTTCTTCTTCAAGATAATCTGCCTCCTTCAATACTGAAGATTCTTGCAGATGCTGTATAATCGGCCTGGTTGGGGTATGCAGGTGGACCATTACACCGGGTTTCCCCCTACTCTTATACGAATAGTGCAATGGGTTCTTAACGTGCAAGGGTGGTGACTCACCTGTACACGGGGCCTCCGTTTAACGTCCTATTAGAGGGACGAAGTGTTTTCCACTTGACATAACCTGCATCTATGAACAAGGGAAGGGGCACGTTAACACACAACGCAGGATTAAGTCATCCGTGTGGGTGGGAGTCGAACCCAGAATCTTTGGTTCAACAGGCAGACCGCTTTACCGACTGAGCCAACTGGCCATTAGGGGAAAATATCACAAAGGAAGAAATTGTTTTACCAGAACTCAACCATATTTACATACCATTGACTCTAGCCTGCTAGTCTTAGCTTCTGGATCATACATGTTAGCCCAACGTTCAACGGTGCTCCTTCTCTTCTTGACCTTCTGTTGATTAGGATTGTCTGCAAAGAAACAATCAGAATATGTAGCTCACATTTATAATGCGCCTAATACTTTGTTTCTAGGCGCGGAACGTATTATTACCCCGGTCATCATAATAATCATAATAATGCTCATGTATTCTTTTCTTGACTAATGCCTTAAAGTGACTCGGTAACATTGCCTCAGATTTGAAACAAAATGATGGATTTAGCTCATGCCGCAATTATAATTATAACCTTTAGGTCAGTCAGGAACCCCACAAATTTTACAAGCCAATCGCCTGTTTGATTATCAAGATATTTATGGTTGGAGATCTAAATCAAATTTTCTGTTTTCCCAACAGTTTTAATAACACTACAGTCTATTTGGGAAAATGAGTATGGTATTAAAAATTGGTCACTCAAAGATTTTTACTATTTTGAGGCACTTCATGATCATTTACAACCGCAAATTTTTTAGGGCTTCAATATTACACCATATCACAGAACTGATAACAAGTAGGACTGTGCATCTCAGATTGAACATTGTTAAATGATGCCTTTAAAACTTGCCAAATAATCTATCATTACAGACACAATATGTTAGACATGAAATACCAACCAACTGGTGAACTACCTGTACATGTACAATATGGCCCCCTAATGCATACCGGTATATAGACAAACATAGTTTTCTTTTAGGAAAATATGATGAATGTGACCTCAAAGTATTTGTGTGTGCAGGGAAAATCCCCCAAAACACAGAACTCTTCCTCCAAAAAAAGACAAAAAAGACCAAAATAAGAAGACAAATAAACTAGTGATTAGAGTGGTCTTTTTAAACTTGACCAAAAAGTATATAAAAACCATGAGGTTTATACGTATGCAATCTTTGTGACTTACATGACCAGGTTTGTACGTTTGCAATCTTTGTGACTTACATGACCAGGTTTATACGTATGCAATCTTTGTGACTTACATGACCAGGTTTGTACGTATGCAATCTTTGTGACTTACATGACCAGGTTTGTACGTATGCAATCTTTGTGACTTACATGACCAGGTTTATACGTATGCAATCTTTGTGACTTACATGACCAGGTTTGTACGTATGCAATCTTTGTGACTTACATGACCAGGTTTGTACGTATGCAATCTTTGTGACTTACATGCCCCAAAGTTGATGGCTCCTATAGACTCCAGGTACTCATGAATCAGTCCAATCAAGTTGACATCACCACCGCTCTTTAAACCATTCCTCGCTGCTGTTTTATTCAGATATGTTGGCTTGATCTTAAGCCTAATATCAGTCATAGAAAGAATGGATTATTCAATGAGAAAGGAATTAAGATGATTTAATACCAGAGCTGCTTGGCTTGAATTTGTTGTACCTCAAAACATGTAAATCAGAAAAAGAAGGATAAAATGGCTCGTTCAAGTAGGTTGGCTTCAAAAGATTAACATATATGAGAGGGAGGAACAAATTTCTAAGAGAGAGAGAGAGAGAGAATAAGATATGTTTTGTCTTCATCAGTTTTAGTATATAGAGAGAAATCAAATTACAATTAGTCATATTGAGAAAGATTTTCTTCAGTTCAAGAGGATTATTAAGTGTAGTACATACTGGCCGAGTTAACTTTGTTTAGATTTTTGTACATGGCTGATGGATTCTTATCTTCAACACTCTGTCGTCATGGTTATGTTTTGACCACTGAGTGTTGAACTGTATGGCGTCATCTGAGTTTACATCTCTTTCTTTTCTTGTTCTTCTTTGTTTTATAATACTTCTTCTTCTCTCCTTCTAGCAGTGTGTGTGTGAATGCATGTATGTGTATGTGAGTTGATGATTGAATATTTGTATTATGATAAAATTTATTTTATGTATTTATAATTTGCTCAAGGGGCCCTGTTTTACAAGCTAGTACTTCCTTAGGGCTCCTAACCTTTATTACTTTGTATATGATTACATTTTATGTACGATCTACGGTTGAATAAATGAATCCCAAAATCTAGTCAGTTCATTGGCTTTGCAAGATACATACATAACGCAAGACTGGAGGTAATCCATTAACTGGTTCTTGAGATAACGCGATCAGCAGAACAGGATGTGCAGACGGACGGACGGACAACCCGAAAACAAAATGCCTCCGGCTACTTTGTAGCAGAGGCATAAAAAGTACTAATGCCACTACCTTATTTTGATCATTCTATTAATAGCTAGAAACATGTTACTCTCTAGTGTATTCGTAGTAAGACAGAATTTGCTTACATTACATGAAACAATTCCATGTGTATGTATCTAACGTATAATCAATCAGCTTTGAAAACAAAGAAGTTCTTACCAAAATTTAATGATATGATTTCTTATAGCTAGATATCTCTCTGGTGTTTTAGCACTGCTGCTGAAATCAAAGAAGTTTGGATGAGCTTCTTTCTCTCCTTCAGTCACATGGCTAGGGTCAAGGGTCACTTCTTCCTTTGGAGGTTCTATAATCTCTTCATCAGACTCTACATGAGAAGAAATGATATCAAGTCAGTTTGTAAAATGAGTTGCAATAAAAGTCATCAGAATTCTAAGATTTTGGATAATTAATCAAGAGATTAGTACATGAAAAATCATTAAGATGCCTACTTATGATCTCAATTACCTTGAGTTTCATTTGTTTCTTAAATATCTATTTTTAAATTGGCTATATCCTGAAGACTTTGAACACAAACTATTTCCATATCATTGTCATATTTGTATGTACTTTCCATGACTCTCAAGACTGATGAGACACATTGTCTCTTATTGAAACATGATGAGTAGAAAGATTCTCATATCTATCACTGATGAGACACATTGTCTCTTATTGAAACATGATGAGTAGAAAGATTCTCATATCTATCACTGATGAGACACATTGTCTCTTATTGAAACATGATGAGTAGAAAGATTCTCAAATCTATCACTGATGAGACACATTGTCTGTCATTGAAACATGATGAGTAGAAAGATTCTCATATCTATCACTGATGAGACACATTGTCTCTTATTGAAACATGATGAGTAGAAAGATTCTCAAATCTATCACTGATGAGACACATTGTCTGTCATTGAAACATGATGAGTAGAAAGATTCTCATATCTATCACTGATGAGACACATTGTCTCTTATTGAAACATGATGAGTAGAAAGATTCTCATATCTACCTTCACAGCTCTGATCCTTGATTTGCTCAAAGCTGTTGGTGTCATCATTACTCTCTTCTCCTCCTGTAGTTTGACCAGCATTATTTGACCCTTCATCCTCATCATCACTCTCTTCTCCTCCTGTAGTTTGACCAGCATTATTTGACCCTTCATCCTCACCATCTCCACTACCAGTCTTGTCTCTATCATCATCTTTGTCTTGGTGCTCCTTGGAGCATTCTGGACCTACATTCCTTTCATTGCTTGCCTCTGAATCTTCAGTTGTAGGAGTTTGCAATGCTTCAAAACTCGGTGGATCTCTGCTCACTTGTTGATGAGATAATTCCAGTGTTCTTTTCTCCTCAAATTCCTTCACAATCTGGCCCATAGAGGAGCAGCCACTTGTATTTTGCTGCCCACTTCCCTCACTCGATGAATGCTTCACAATCTGGCCCATAGACGAGCAGCCACTTGTATTTTGCTGCCCACTTCCCTCACTCGATGAATGCTGGGTGTCAGCACTGGAAGTGGCATCTGGTTCAGATTGAACTATTCTTGCAATGACCGACTTCTCATCAAGACTACTTTTGCATAATTGTGTATAATCTTTATTTCTTACAAACACAGTCTTTATACCGGAGGTTATCTCATGTTCCTTGCGATCACACCCACCTTTCTCCATCTCAGACTCTATTTCCATGTATCCTTCAGAATAATAATCATGTTCCTCAGATTTTACCTCAAACTCCATCTCTTCCTTCACAAGGATCTGTTTTCTCCTTGCTTTCCTTTTGTTTTGTTTCATTCCCTCCTTCTTTCTTGTTTTAAGCCCTCTTCCTGGCCTCATGTTCCCTGGAAGACTTGATTCTTGAGTTGTAGTTACACTATCAATGACTGGTACTACAACCAATGCTTCACATTCATCTTCTGAGCATTCTTCCTCTGAGCTTTCTTTCATTCTCTTCCTAGACCCCTTCCAACCTCTCCTGTTCTTCTTCAGACGCCTATCTTTCCTAGGGTTTGTCGTCTGTCCCGAGAGACAAATGGTAAGTTCGGCATCTTCCTCAGAAGATTGATTTTCAGTCTTTATGTTCAATAGACCATTGTCATTCATTATAGCTGCTACATTGACTGCAATGTTCACATCCACATCATCAGCTCCAATATCTGTTTGCATCTCAGGAGAAGGTGATTTGGAGTCTTTTAACTTAGTGATCGTCTTCTGGTTAATGGTAGCTCTTTGCTTTTGATCAAGATTTTCATTTCCTTGTTCAGTGTTTCCTGCAAAGTCAGATGTTTTATCTTGCTGGCTGTCTAAGTCTGTATTATCTATGGGAACAGAATGCCTCAGGATGTCACCGAATAGCAGAGTGGATTGGAGACCTGGTCCTGGATGAGGGCAATGAGAGAAAGATATTATCTGAAAGATATGTAAAGCAATTAACATAGAGATGGAGAGAACAGGAGAAAGAGAGAGATTTTATTTCCTGCAACCATGAACCCTTTTCAGTATTTGTAAGATAATTGTTTCCCTCTAGATGTTAGTTTTCTGGGCAGCATTAAACAACTGCATCAGCATAACATACATTGGCAGTTGCAGTCATGAGATGTACATGTTTCTTCATAGAATCAAATCATCCAAAATACAAGCATACACCTAACAAACATGAAGACAGTATAATAATAATAGGCATTTCTATAGCGTCGTGTATCTAGAAATTCTATTCCGAGGCGCATTTATTATTACCCCGGCTTTAGCCTAGCTGCCATTACAGCGCTCTAGCATTTCAAGGAATTAATTCCTGCCAGGTACCCATTTACCTCACCTGGGTCGAGTGTGGCAAATGAAGATTAATGCCTTGCCAAAGGACTTTAGTGCCGTATCGGGGACCTTTGAATTTCAAGTCAAGTGCTTAAACCACTCGACTACGACTACAAATTGCACTTTAATGATCAAATACTCCTGTGATACAATGTTCTACTAAACTTATGCCACCAAAATTGGTGGAGCCTACTTATCATCTTAAACTCGCTCCCTGCCCATGTTGTAGGAAACATTTGAGATAAAGGACTTCAAGCTTTGAAATGTTGAATAAATAGATACCTTCTAGATGTGACATAATTTTGTTTTTGCTTGTATTTTGTATTTTCATTAGTTTGTTCCTTTGTATTGCATATTGTGTAATCATTTAGTCATTCTGGGATCCATTGAACCACTTGATTGGTCCTTTTTTCAGCGCATTTTGTAAGATGTTTGGTGATGCTATTGTTCATATTTTGCAAAATGTATTAAAAAAACAAAACAAATGTAATGCCATATTGAACACATATCCTATTTCGGCTAGCACATCCTAATATAGTTTCGAAATGGCCACAATACAATGCTGGTACACAAAATAGAGGTCACCTTAGCACAGTGATTTGCAATAATATGCACAAAGAAAGGTCATATGGTCTATAGGGTGTACCTTTTTGCTCAATGTCAGATGTTTCCTCCACGTCGATATCAACATCTTCCTCTTCCTCATCATCCAATACTAGTAGATGTTGGTCTTCCTTGGAATCTCCTCCATGCTCCTCATTCCCATCCATTGGTCCCTCTCCGTCTGCTTCAAGTCTCTGTGAGGTTTGACTCTCAAGAACCTTCACAGAACATTTATTGGAGAAATCCTGCCCATCTTTGGAAGCAGTCTGTCAGGAGTACAAAAGTACTACAGCAATGACTAAAGAAATCCAGAGTTAGCAATGAAACATAGCCGTGCATTTTGCTGGGCACAAAGATACGTTGTGAACATATTGCTGTCAAATCTTGCATGTATTTTGCGATAGCTTTTCAAACCCAATAGTACATTTTTTAAAAAATAAAACTAGATGGAATTCAACTGCGCGCAGTCGAAAATGATGCCTCCGTCATAGAGCAATTTTACAAACCAAAACAGAAGAAATTTTTCGAATTCAATTTCAATTGTAATCCATTGACAGGTTCTCAGAATATCGTGATAACAAGCAATTTCTCATATACAGAATAAGCCCTTGACCTTTGACCTCATGAACCAAGAATCTACTCAGTTCATTGGCTCTGCATGTAACATACATGACCTAATTTTGGCAGGATTCCATCAATCGGTTCTTGAGATAACGGGATCGCGAGCTGTTTTTGCATACATAATGTGCGCTGTGGCCTTTGACCTTTGACCTCATGACTCCTAAATCTAATCAGTTCATTGGCTCTGCAAGTAACATACGTGACCTAAGTTTGGCGGGAATCCATCAATCGGTTCTTGAGATAACGCGATCACAAGCTGTTTTTGCATACATAATGTGCACTGTGGCCTTTGACCTTTGACCTTGTGACCCCAAAATCTAATCAGTTCATTGGCTCTGCAAGTAACATACATGACCTAAGTTTGGCAGCAATCCATTAATCAGTTCTTGAGATAACGCGATCACGAGCTGTTTTTGCATACATAATGAGCCCTGTGACCTTTGACCTTTAACCTCGTGACCCCAAAATCTTATCAGTTCATTGGCTCTGCAAGATACATACATAACCAAAGTTTGGCAGGAATCCATCAATCGGTTCTTTAGATAACGCGATCACGAGCTGTTTTTACATACCTAATGAGCCCTGTGACCTTTGACCTTTGACCTCGCGACCCTAAAATCTAATCAGTTCATCGGCTCTGCAAGATACATACATGACCAAAGTTTGGCAGGAATCCATCAATCGGTTCTTCAGATAACGCGATCACAAGAACGGGACGTAAGTACGGACGGACAACCCGAAAACATATATGCCTCCGGCTACTTCGTAACGGAGGCATAAAAAAAATCTGAAAAGTAGACCATAAGTGCTGCAGTATCTGTCCCATTCTGATAAAACACAAATCTATTCAACCTTATGATACATACATTAGAACACTTATACAATACAGAAAACAAAGACTTGATGACCGCCTCATTAAATTGACATACCTGGTTTTGAAGATAATTTCGAGCATAGTTCTTGACTTGAACATGATTCCTTGTTTTTATCACATCTGCAATTTTCTTCCAGCGATGACCATGCTCATCCTAAAGAAAATATAATGTGTTCAAGATAAACTTCAATTTACAAAGAATCTGTAAAACAAGAAATTAACAATATGAATGCATTACTGAAAACTAAATAATTTGTTTTCCTTATTGGGTAATAATAATATTGGATTCTTATATAGCGCACGTATCGACCTTGCAAGGTCCTCAAGGCGCACCAACATTACCCGGCTATGCTAGGCTGCCGATTTCGACGCTCACAGCATTTTAAGGAATTCCTTCCTACCGGTACAGGGGTTAACAGTTGGTCTAGTGGTACGATCAGCTCTCTGTCTTCACATACAATCTGAATCTGGACGACCCTGGCTTGAAACACTCCAGCAAAGCATAGAGTCAATGCTAATGCGTATTGACCTCTAGCACTGCATGCTTGCTGTGAGGCGGGTATTATTAGACCCATACACAAATATACACACCACACTATATCGCATAGACTCTACACAATCATGTCGATGCAGCTGAAACCAAAGTTTGACACTAGACTTACAATTTGAATTTTTAAATTATTCTTTTTAACATCAGTAAGTTAACAAAAATGTATTTTAATGCTATTTAGGTGTCATCAATTGTCACTAAAGTACCGATTCTGAGTGAAATCAGTTGAGTTTTGTACATGTGGTGTTTGAAATGTTGAGAATCAAAAGCACAGCTTTTACTACACAGCCAGGATAGTGATGCTCCTATGTGTGGCTTGAAACTGAGTCACGTCTTTAAGTTAGTGACATTGAAGATCAGCCCCAGATATTAATAATCGGATTCTAGTGATAAACATCTGTAACTAGATGGAATTCGACTGCGCGCAGTCGAAAATGATGCCTCCGTCATAGAGCAATTTTACAAACCAAAACAGAACACATTTTTCGAATTCAAGTTCAATTGTAATCCATTAACAGGTTCTCAAAATATCGTGATTACAAGCAATTTCTCATATACATATATGACCCTTTGATCTTTGACCTCATGACCCTAAAATCTACTCAGTTCATTGGCTCTGCAAGATGTCCTGAGTTAAATAGTAATCCATCTGTCAGTTCTAATGAGAATGTGTTCACAAGCTATTTCTGCATACATAATGAGCCCATGACCTTTGACATTATGAACCAAGAATCTACTCAGTTCATTGGCTCAGCAAGTAACATACATGACCTAATTTTGGCAGGAATCCATCAATCGGTTCTTGAGAACGCGATCAAGAGCTGTTTTTGCATACATAATGTGCGTTGTGGCCTTTGACCTTTGACCTCGTGACCCCAAAATCTAATCAGTTCATTGGCTCTGCAAGATACATACATAACCAAAGTTTGGCAGGAATCGATCAATCGGTTCTTGAGATAACGCAATCACGAGCTGTTTTTGCATACATAATGTGCGCTGTGGCCTTTGACCTTTAACCTCGTGACCCCAAAATCTAATCAGTTCATTGGCTCTGCAAGATACATACATGACCTAAGTTTGGCAGCAATCCATCACTCGGTTCTTGAGATAACGCGATCACGAGCTGTTTTTGCATACATAATGAGCCCTGTGACCTTTGACCTTTAACCTCATGACCCCAAAATCTAATCAGTTCATTGACTCTGCAAGATACATACATGACCAAAGTTTGGCAGGAATCCATCAATCGGTTCTTCAGATAACGCGATAACGAGCTGTTTTTGCATACATAATGAGCCCTGTGACCTTTGACCTTTGACCTCGTAACCCCAAAATCTAATCAGTTCATCGGCTTTGCAAGATACATACATGACCAAAGTTTGGCAGGAATCCATCAATCGGTTCTTCAGATAACGCGATGACGAGAACGGGACGTACGTACAGACGGATGGACGGACGGACAACCCGAAAACATAATGCCTCCGGCTACTTCGTAACGGAGGCATAAAAATCCCATTACACGTACATGTAACCATGCTACAGGGATACTCTGGGCCGTAATATGATCAGAGGAACAATTCCTCCAACTCACTTGATCAAATTAACAAAGATAAAAAACAAGATAATAGTTTTGCTTCTTCACTTTCTTTTTTTTTTGATGAAAGAAAAACAAGTCCATTGCCTTGGAAAGTAAATGGAAGCCTATACAATTGTATACCTGTATTCAGACCGTTTTTCCAGAGAAACAGAGACTATGGTTGATGATAATATACAGGTTATGCAGTAAATTGAGATGTGTACTCACAATACCCTCCTTGAAAAGATCCTTCTCCTCTTCTGTCCATCTCGTATTAAAGGAAGATAACTTCTTTGGTTTCCTGGGAATCAAATAACATCATGAAACTGATATGCCATCTAGACCACTCCAGCAAAGCATAGAGAGTCAATGCTAATGCGTATTGACCTCTAGCACTGCATGCTTGCTGTGAGGAAGGTATTGTTAGACCCATACACAAATATACACACCACACAATATCGCATAGACTCTACACAATCATGTCGATGCAGCTGTAAGTAGGTATCACAGAAGAGCTACATTGAGTGGGGACACGCAGAGCTCAACCACGCAAATTCTCTCTTTATCAAGGAAGATTTTCATATCATGGAAAAAATAAATATAATAAAATGATATGTCTCTCGAAAGCTCAGGATTCTGTCTTTCATGTCATGTCATTTTCATCAAAATCCATCAATTACTTACGACACAGTTGCTTGTGATTTACCCTCTAATTCGTACTGTGTCACTTCGTTTGTCACTATTTTTATTTGATCGCCGATTTGCATCGCTAGTTTTAGCTCAATGCGCTTGAACGCCATTTGTCTTTGACTTTTAAAAATCCACTGGTCGGAAAGAGCACATCTTAAGCTTTATTTTCATATAAAAAATGATGGGGGTATGTTTCAAAAAGATCGTTAAAAATCAGAGTGAAAAGTTTAAAACAATTTTTCTATATCAGAAAAACATACTTTTAATTCAATTTTGATACGAGAAGAAAGAGAATTTAATGGAGAATACGATCATGTAAATATTAAGAATGACCCCGAGATGGTGCTTGAGCGCAAATCCGATGAATACGGCTATACCCTGACACTATGAACATGACGGACAAAGAAAGCTGACAAAATATACAGTTCCTCAGGTAGACAAAGGAACTTACCTTCACAGCTATTATGTAAAAATGTGTAGAACAGGTGAATATGCATGTAACACCTGTTCTACACATTTTTACAAAATAGCAGTGAAGGGATGTTCCTTTGTCTACCTGGACTTCTTGAAGAGTTTAGACCCATTTTCAAATGCCATTTAAAATTAATTTAAATGGATTTGATGGTCCAAACTTACAGAAATAATTAATCTACATATATACCCCAGATATGCTGAAATTCAGCCCCTCTTGATATACACTCTTAAATCTAGCCATGTTTCAAAACCCATGAAAACTTGTTCCGGCGACGCAAAAATAGCCATTTGTCACACGCATCAAAATGGGCTTCATATAATTATTTGAAAAATTCGACAAAAAAAAATATTTGTCAAAAGAACCTGAAAAAAAATAGGCATGTAGAAATTCATACAGAGAACAGATTTCTTGAAAAGAAAGGTGATTCATCAATTAATTACAAAATTATATCACCTTGAAAATGGCTAATTGTCAGTTATAGCCTAATTACGCAAAATTTGACCATTTTGTCTCTTATGTAAGTGGCCGTATTTTCAAGAGTACTTATTCAAATTTGACAAATGAGGTATCAAAATTCTTCTTTTCATGTGCTCAAAAAGGAAATGGGCAGGGGAAGTGAAATTTAGAAACTTTCAAAAGTTAGCTGTGATACCTACTGTAAGCAATGTTTGACAGTCAGTAGACTTACAATTTGAATTTTTAAATTATTCTTTTTAACATCAGTAAGTTAAAAAAATGTATTTTACTGCTATTTAGGTGTCATCAATTGTCACTAAAGTACCGATTTTCAGTGAAATGAAATAAGTTGAGTTTTGTACAGTGGTGTTTGAAATGTTGAGAATCAAAAGCACAGCTTTTACTACACAGCCAGGATAGTGATGCTCCTATGTGTGAAGAAAACAAGTTCCTGTAAAAGGGTCTCCTAATTAACTCAAGGGCTATCTATCAAGCAAAGGGTTGAATCTATTAACACCTTCAAATCTTGGGTGTAGAGTTCAAACCACTTGATTAAAACCCCTGCTCATTGAACATTAAAAAGATAAAACTTACTTTGGTATGAAGAGTGTCTTTAATCCTTTATTTTTGCACCTGTTAAGAATTAAAATTAGGAAGAAACAAAAATGTGTTATTTTGTTATCACACCTTAACAAATCCATATCAGAGATGCCAACCTCTTGACACAAAAAAAACAGACTGAGTATCCTAAAAAATCAGATTTTGGAGAGAAAAATCAGATTTTCACAAAAACTCGACACTACCAACGGCAGGTTGGCCCCGGGCCAGTAAAATTTCAGAAAAATGTGATACTGGTACGTACGGTCAAGTAAAATGTTTGCTCTTTCATTAAAATTTTGAAAGAAAATTGTAAAGCAAAGTTTTTGTTGGGGTTGCAGGGGTTTACTTGTACATGTTTCTATGCGATCCCGTGGTTTTTATGGGTATTAAAAAAAAAATCATATTTTAAGAGGTGATATCGTATTATCGTATTCCACTCTTATTATCGTACTAAAAACGACTAAATCGTACTGGTTGGCACCTCTGCCATATGCTTAGAACACTGGAAATAAAAGTACTTTGTGTTCAATCAGCTTGCTGGAGTTCAATGTGTGCAGCATTATGCCATATTTTTCACACAACTGTAACTAAATTTTGCCTGCCCCAAATACGATCTGTTGTGACAGTGCACTTGTAAATACTTTATCACCCTAGTCATTTATTTCTTTTACTAATGATGCATGACATAAATACACATGTATTTGAAATAGCACTTCCTCAGGCAAGGTGCCTAGTATAGCACCATCTATTGATATTCACTTGATATTAAACACTCAGAAGGCTACATAGATATGGTTGTGTTGAGGTACAACTAGAATCCCCTTTTTGCCAGAGCATCAAGGAGATTTCAGTCCTAAGGTTGTCATTATGTCAGGCAAAGAGGTTAGTTTTGTTATAATATATATTGAATGTATTTCTACGAATTGTCGAAACATAAAGTGTAATTTAGTGTGTATGTTTTAAGAGATGTTGATGCTAGTATGTAATGTTCCGTCAGACATGCAAGCCCATGCTGTTATGATGTATGTACATTTTACCTTGTATTAAAAACATTGATAACTAGTGAAGATATTGTTAAATACTTTGAAGATTATTATGAGAGTGCTGAAGCACAAAGTAGAGATTTGAAATTTATAATTGTTTAGTTTATTGTTTAAATAAGCTATAGTGAAGTCTAGTTGAGACATTTGTAATTGTGAGTTTGTATTTATGTAAAGCCATAATGCAGATGGACTAGAATAGGAACTGGGGATATTTTAATGAGTTATGAAGATCATGACACAATGTACATTGTTTTATGAGTTTCTCAAAGAGACTGTGTTTATTGCTATATTTATGATGCTATGATGTACTTGTATTTATGATTCTTTATCTGTGATTTATCCACAGTTTTCACAGAATTGGAACGAAACGATTACTCCAATTAAAGAGCTATGAATTCCCGTAGAAGCCTTTGTTTAGACTCTGATTTGTTGTTGACCTCGCTGCAGCCACACGATCATTACCATCAAGTCCATTACTTGATAGGTAATGTATGTCATGCAACTAATATAATGTAATTCAATAATTTCAATTCATATCAAATTCTTAAAACCTACCTCATAATTTTTTTTGTCTGTAAATAAGAGCTGCATTAGTTAGAGGTTAAGGAAATAAAAGCATACATACTGTAGAAGCATACATGTATAATCTGTCAGCTCTGGATGAATGACTGTTCAAGGCCACCTTGGCCAAATTCAACTACAAATTATGTGACTAATGTCTGTGGTGTAGCTCCTAACTTCAACCTTGTACGAATGGGAGTGAGATATTTAAAGGATACTTCAACCTTGTACGAATGGAAGTGAGATATTTAAAGGATACTTTAACCTTGTACGAATGGGAATGAGATATTTAAAGGATACTTCAACCTTGTACGAATGGGAGTGAGATATTTAAAGGATACTTTAACCTTGTACGAATTGGAGTGAGATATTTAAAGGATACTTCTCTTCTTTGATCATCTGATGAATAGTGGCTCTGCTACTTTCATCCATATCATCATGTAGAATCACAGTAGGGATGTGAGAGTTGAACTGAGAAAACAAAAACATATCTAATCCTTGATTATTTCATTAAAAACATCCATAAGGTATGTGTCTTAGTGATGCTTTGGAAATAATTTTGCATTATATTATACTAGAATATAATAATAAGAAAGTAAACCCTCTTTTCTCATGTGAGGTTTGAAATATCCTGAATTTATTTTACTCTATAAAGTGTTTAGAAGAAGCTTTGTAATGAATCTTAGAATAAAAGCTTAGAAGAATGTGTACCCATACATCATCTAAAATGATGAATGGTGGCATATTCAAATGAACAACTGCATAATATGAAAGTGTCATTAGGTTATCAATGTGGTACATATTACTGTTCCATTAAGATTATATATTTGTAATAAAAGGGAAAGAAGGATGTAAGGGCTTCGGAATATATTAAATCTTCTATTTTTTGTAACATCCCTTTTTCCTTTTGTATAAGACCGTTACCTGTGTAAGAACAGGTGAATATGCATGTGGCACCTGTTCTACACATTTGTACATAATAGCAGTGAAGGGATGTTCCTTTGTCTACCTGAGGAACTGTATATTTTGTCCGCTTTCTTTGTCAGTCATATTCATAGTGTTACTAATTTTACCTGTTCATCAAATGTGAGCCATGGATGCTGGGAGAGCTCTGGTGAGAGATGAGAACTAGCAGATGGTAGCTCATTAGGATCCATATCAAGGCCTAATGATGATGGGCTGTACGTAGTATAGACACAATATGAAATAAAAGAACATGATCTCAATAGCAAGTCCTAATGATGATGGGCTGTACGTAGTAAAGACACAATATGAAATAAAAGAACATGATCTCAATAGCAAGGCCTAATGATGATGGGCTGTACGTAGTAAAGACACAATATGAAATATAAGAACATGATCTCAATACCAAGGCCTAATGATGATGGGCTGTACGTAGTAAAGACACAATATGAAATATAAGAACATGATCTCAATAGCAAGGCCTAATGATGATGGGCTGTATGTAGTAAAGACACAATATGAAATAAAAGAACATGATCTCAATACCAAGGCCTAATGATGATGGGCTGTATGTAGTAAAGACACAATATGAAATAAAAGAACATGATCTCAATAGCAAGGCCTAATGATGATGGGCTGTATGTAGTAAAGACACAATATGAAATAAAAGAACATGATCTCAATACCAAGGCCTAATGATGATGGGCTGTATGCAGTAAAGACACAATATGAAATAAAAGAACATGATCTCAATAGCAAGGTGCCTGATCAGGAAAGGGAATTTAATCTTCAAGTTTATTCTCTCAACGGTGAGCTGCCTGTGATCAGGCCACTTTAGCATTCATGATCTCAGCTGCACTATTTTGTAGAAATCAAAATCAAAACCATACATTGTAGCAGTTAAGTGTTAGTGCTATAAATGACTTTTGTAGGAATTAGCATGAATTGGTCCACAGTAAATCATTCATGAGGAGAGGAAAACAATTATTTGACATTAAATTTGCAACTTGGAAACCCAAATTTGAAAATAGCCGAGTAATAATCCTTGAATCAGATCATCTGTCATTTATTGAACATGTATCTAGCATATCAAAGTCTGTGAGATATCAACTGCGGAACCTTGGGTTCATACGAAAATCTCTGACTCAAAAAGCATGCGAACAATTAATCCATGCATTAATCTCATCCCGCTTAGATTTTTGTAATTTTCTATTTGGACTCACAAAACAGCAGCAAGACAGACTGCAATCCCTCCAAAATTCTAGTGCAAGACTCCTTACTTTCACACCAAGAATGTCTTCTATTACGCCTATATTACGCTCTCTTCACTGGCTACCTGTCCAGAAAAGGGTCCACATCAAAATTATGTTACTTGTTTATCGGGCTCTCCATGGAATTTCGCCACAATACATTAAAGACTCACTACACCCCTACAATCCAACTCGTACCTTAAGATCTGGAAGTGATAATTTGCTGCAAATTCCCTGTACCCGTCATTCATGGGGAGACCATGCTTTTTTGCATGCAGCAGCCAAATTATGGAATAAGCTTCCCTCATCACTTCGCTGTATTGCAACATACTCCACCTTTAAAACTTGTCTTAAGACTTACCTATTCCATCTGTAACCCAGTTGAATAAGTTTATTTTACTAAATCCATAATTGATATGTTATTTGTATATACATTTGAAATTAATTAGTTATCACCCTTTAGTCTCATTGGCTGCCCGTATGGGGCCTGTTGGCCTAGATGCTAGAGCTTCCGTGAATAATGTGCTGACTGGGCTAGTCCCTTAAATTGTCAGTGAACGGAGCAGCAGGAGGGCACCGGGCCCCATCGGGCAGAGCTGAGGATTGAAACGAGTTATACAAATATATATATATATATATATATATATTGCAAAAAATTATTGCAAAATTATTTACTTTACTTGTATCAAAGAGAACTGTTGCTGAGCTAGCACCATGAGCGTCCCTGGACGGTGTGTGCGCTCTATAAGTTTACACTATTATTATTATTATTATTATCTGGTAGTCCAAGGCTCAAAATTCACGGGGGGCGACGGGCAATTTGTCCCCTTGACCTACATAATCGCCTCCGTCAGAGTGCTCTCAGGGGGTGATTGCAAAATTAAAAATCGCCCCTGTGGAATTATAAAATAAAGATTACCTTTTCTGTTACAACTTTCACATAATATTGAGTTTCAACTTTCAAACCTCAAACCAATGAAATGGAACTACGGAGGTAAGATTAGCGTGCAGGAGTTCTCGCTCGAATTTTTTGGTGTCTGGAGGCCGCCATATTGTAAACAAATGTATGCTTATTCGCCGCAAGATGGCGCTTTATCTCCCATCTCACCACAACAGAAGCTCCCACTCCAGTGCGGCTGTCAGCAGTGGCTATAACGCACTAGTATTACCGGTGTGCACGCTGCCATTGTACAAAACTCACAGAATTCACCAAAAATCAGTACTTTAGTGACAATACTAACTAGGACATCTTCATACCTCTTTACAAATCTCTGGTATGCCCACATCTTGTTTATATATACAGTATATTGTACGGTATCATAGAATCCCCGTTTCACGGCATATGAAGGCAAGATTGAAGCTGTGCAACGGAGAGCAACAAGAATGATTCCTGGTAGAGTTTATTTAAGAAAATTGACACGAAACAGGTACCGGTAATAAACATAACAACTTTTAACTCATGATCTTTGTTTGGACATTTTATGAATATTTACTTCATTTTGGGTATGTTTTAGTAGGGTATCTCCTAGACCAAAAGGTTCAGTCTCTCTATATCGTCGGTTGTTCCACTGAGACTACGTCTGGCTCCACAAGACCTCCACAAGACCACCGATTATAGAGACTGAATGATCGCCTATGCCATCGTACGTGGAAGATACAGTCTACGGGTATACGATAAGACGATACTGCCCTGACGCTTGTCATAATCACAGCCACAAACAACTACAATTAGAATTTTTAATGAAAACACACATGAAAAACATTCATAAAATACGTAACTTGGACCTCTTCATATGAAATGTTCTTCAAAAAAGTGTTATCTCTTCCACTTGACTGTCTTCAGACTGTGACTATCGTCAGCCATCTTGAATCAAAGTAATGAATATTCATGACAAAGGTTTTGAGTTTCCACCCATTGACCTCATTCATAGACGTGCACGTTTGAGTTCTCGAGTTGTCTGCTTCACATTTGTGCTTGCACTATCCTCGACGCGACGCCCGGTGGTCATCCCTCCTCATATCGTATTTGAATATTCATAAGCCGCCATTTTGATTTCTGTCGGTCAGAAGGCTTAACATGGATCATCGAGAAGTAGGCCAGTAACCAATCATTGGATCGGGGGACCGATCTTGAGCTGATCAGGTGTGATCGGATAATAATTTCTGATCGCCGAGCTGGGATTATTTTGTCATTTGGAGTTGTTGTAGACCATGTTTGTTGATATTTAGTGCCTTTTCATGACTTTGAAATTAATAATATTGGTCTAAGAGGAGAGGCAAAACATGCGGGCCGCCATCTATATTGTTACATAATTCTGCCAATTTTTTTTGCTGACACCGATCACAGACCTGTGCAAGGGTATCACTCCGATCTTCCGATCCATTCAAAGCCCCAACTTACAGGGTTATCGAGAAGCAGCCAAAAGCTTGGCAAGTCCCTTTATTTCATTTTTTCCCTTCAATTTCTTGGGGAGGGTACAAAAGGAACTCTTACCGACAGTCATGATATCTAGAAAATTACTGCAATTGAGGAGAAATGATGCATTTCTCCTCAACTTTGTCATGTTTGTGGGAGGGGCCTAACGACTAAAATCTAGCTGTGATATCTTCCCCACACCTGCACACAGCCTATACTACAGTCATACCGTCTGTGTATGGGGAATGACGACAAATGTCAGTTTTCAAATTATTAAAGAATGACCCATACCAGACGGTTATTTCTGACTAGGTATCTCCACGCCTGAGTTACAGGTCAAATTTTGGATAGATCTAGGCTTCTGAACAAGCGCCCATTTTACTGTGTTGTGTGCGTGTGTGTTGGGTTTTTAACCACTCCAGCAAAGCATAGAGAGTCGATGCTAATGCGTATTGACCTCTAGCACTGCATACTTGCTGTGAGGCAGGTATTATTAGACCTGTACACAAATAACATGTATAATAACAGAGAATCAAGAAATGTTAAAACTTGGTGTAATCAGTATAACCTGAAACAGATAATTGACGATCCTACTCGAGTTACTGAGAGTAGTTCTACATTGTTAGATTTAATTCTAACTAATCGACCAAACAATGTACTTGATAAAAATGTTGTCATTCATGGTCTGAGTGATCATAGACTAGTGTATGTTGTTTGCAAACATGTTAACCCAAAAACTCCAGCCAGGATTATACATACAAGAGCTTATAGACGGTTAAACGTAACGTTATTTTGTGAAGCATTATTAAATGCTAGAATGGAAATTATGGAAGGCAATGATATTGAAATTGAATGGAATAACTGGAATACTAAGTTTGTTGGTATTTGTGATGAATATTGCCCCAAGATTTCTTTGAGGGTTAGGGGTATGAAGACAAAATGGGTCACGCCTGAGTACACTCGATTGTGCTATGATAGAGATGCACTCAGGAAGAAAGCTGAAAATTCAAAGGACCGACGGGATTGGAGTCTTTTCAGATCCTGCCGTAACCATGTCAATAATCTAAGAGTTACATTGAAAAAGTCTTTTTGTCATGAACAAATAGTTCAAAACAAAAGGAACCCTTCAGAACTTTGGAAGATGCTTAAACAAATTGCCCCAACTTCCACCAAAAGTGTTCCCAATACTTTGAACCTTGATGTAAATTGTGTTAATAAGTATTTTACATCTATTGGTAGTCTGCTTGCTGCCAGTCATTCCTATGTTGAACCTGTGATCTTGTCATTATCTCAGAACTCTATTCGATCTGTCTTTGAATTTGATTTGATTTCTGAGGATTTTGTACGAAGAGAATTGCACTCTATTCAGATTAATAAGGCAACTGGCCTAGAAGGGCTTAGTGCACGTCTCCTGAAGTTGGCCACACCCGTTATTTGTACACCTATTATTCACATGTTTAATCTTTCTCTATAAACCAGCCAAATTCCAGCTGACTGGAAGCAGGCACGAGTTACCCGAATTCACAAGGGTGGGGATAGGGACGATGTTAGCAACTATCGTCCCATATCTGTTATACCGTCGATTATGAAAATATTAGAAAAGGCAGTTAACGTGCAACTTCGAGACTATCTGTCAGATAATAATCTCCTAACCCCCCACCAATCTGGATTTAGGAAAGGTTATTCAACCAACACTGTACTTGCATTTTTGAGCAATTATTTGTTGACTAACATGGATAAAGGTAGAATAACTGGAATAGTCTTTCTTGACATACGAAAGGCATTTGACTCTGTTAATCATAAATTATTACTAGATAAGTTAAAACTGTATGGCATTACGGGACAAGCATTGTCATGGTTCGAATCATATCTTGTACACCGGGCACAATGTACCTCCTTGCTAGGTAAAAAATCTGACGTGCTAAAGTTAAAGTCTGGAGTCCCCCAGGGATTCATATTGGGGCCCCTCCTTTTCACTCTTTTCATGAACGATCTTCCATCGGTCATCGAGCACGGTAAAGTGATTATGTATGCAGATGACACTGCCCTTATGTACAGTTCTTCAAATCCAAGGGAAATCGAAACATGTCTTAATCATGATTTGGATTGTGTGAAAAAGTGGTTGGAAAGAAACCAACTTACCCTGAATACGGACAAGACATGCTTCATGATTTTTGGAACACCGCAGAAATTGATGAACTTGCAATACACATCAATCGCAATAAAAGTTTCTAATGTACCAATCACGCAAGTTCAAAGTGTAAAATATCTGGGAGTTTGTCTAGACCAGCACATGACGTGGCAGGATCATGTGAAATACACTTCAAATAAAATTGCATCTAGGTTGGCCCTACTTCGTAGGGTCAGGAAATATCTCACAATTGATAATGCCAAACTACTTGCCAATTCTCTTATCCTTCCTTACTATGACTATTGTAGTGTTTCATGGAGTACTTGTAATAAAAGAACAAAAGATATCTTGATTAAGCAACACAAGCAGATGGCAAGAATTATCCTGAAAATAAATACTTTGATTCCCACATCCGAAATGTTTACTACCCTAAGATGGATTGACATGGAAAAAAGATGGGAGTTCAATAAAAGTAAATTAATGTATGATGTTATGAATAATAGTCCCCCATCATATTTATATGATATGTTCACCCTGTCCGCCCATACTCATAGATACTCAACAAGGAATGCTGACAATTTGGGCGTCATTATTCCAAAAATTAAAACAGAATGTGGAAAACGTGCCTTCTCAGTTGATGGTGCTCTTCAGTGGAATAGCCTACCCCACTCAGTTCGAAATGCCCCGACCAAGGAAACTTTTTGTTCTCTCTATTTTAAGCAGCGATGTTAAAGATAAATTTGCCTTTCTTTACTTATTTCTTTCATGAATATTTACATAAATTTCTCAATATGATAATGTGTTCAAATCTAAACAGATCATTGATAATAATCAGAGTATATTGTTATCGATTTAAAATTGCTCATTGAAATTTATCATTCTTACTACGGCTTTGTTTCATTATTCACTCTTATTCTTTACTCTTTTTTTCTGTTATATGTTGCTATGTATTGATGTTTCCGTGATGTCTATATTGTTCAAGTAGTTTGTTTCTTCATACATGTATATGTTGCATTTGTGTACAGGGCCCCCTGGAAAACAGTACTGCGATTACTGACGGGGCCACCCTGTTTAAATAAAAACGAAATAAATAAATAAATAAATAAATAAATAAACACACCACACAATATTGCATAGACTGCACACAATCATGCCGATGCAGCTGTAAGCAAAGTTTGACAGTCAGTAGACTTACAATTTGAATTTTTAAATTATTCTTTTTTTAAAATTAGTAAGTTGAAAAAAATGGATTTTAAGGCTATTTAGGTGTCATCAATTGTCACTAAAGTAACGATTTCGAGTGAAATCAGTTGAGTTTTGTACAGTGGTGTTTGAAATGTTGAGAATCAAAAGCACAGCTTTTACTAGGGTGTCTGAACGATTTTTCACCATTTTAGTTTGATATTTGAATAAAAAATGTAATCAGAATAATGCATTTCAAATTTCAAGTCTCATCGATGTTTCTATCAAAAGATACAGCCCCTCCAAAACGC